ATTATTATTATTATTATTATTATTATTATTATTATTATTATTATTATTATTATTATTATTATTATTATTATTATTATTATTATTATTATTATTTAGCAGAAATGTTTTCATTAATGAAATTCTCTTTAAAAATACTCGTGTGATAGAACAATGAGAAATACGCCGCGTTGTTTACATTAAAAAAAATAATAATAAACAATTTTCGATTGTTTACGTTAAAAGGTCATCGACCTCGCGAACGTAAACAAATAATTTTTCATTCATAATTTTTAACCCGTTTTGAACTCGTTAATAAAAAAATTAAATAATTTTTACAATGCAGCGATACTAATTTTTTTTTAAATTCCCGCGCTTTTTTATTATTTAAAATTTTTTCTTTGATGACGTCATAATGATAGGCACACACAAAATGATATAAGAAAAATAAATAAATTTGCGTTAATTATAAATATAATATATATATATTATTTTATTATTATTAAATGAGAGAAAAAAAAATTTAAATTTTAAATCACATGAGTATATATTATTATTAATTCTTATATCAAAAAAATGTTTTTTTTTTTTTTTTTTTTAAATGTTTATAATAATAATAATGATTAATTTAAATTTAAAATTTTAATAAAAGCACTAACACAACAACCGCGAGTAACGTACCTGATAATATAGATAAATTTTTTTTACTTGCTCCTCCTTTAACTAAATGAAACAGAAAAAAAAAAAAAAAAAAGAAAATGGCTATGAAAAAAAATTTTTTTTTTTTTTGGATAATCAAAAAAAAAACTTTTTTTTCTCCATTGATAAAATTAAAAAAAAAACAAAAAAAAAAAAAAAAAAGAGAAAAAGTAAAAAAAAAAGTTTTGGATTTAAAGATTTGACATTTATTGATTATAATTTAATTTGAGTTTTTTTTTTTTTTTCCAATTTTTGATACGTCGTATAATATCGATTTTTATTATTATTATTATTATTAAAACTAATTAATTTAAATTAACTACTTGTGAAATGACGTCATCACACACATAGAGCAAAAAAGAAAGAAAAATTGTATTTACCTAAAAAATGAGCTTCTCTGTTGTCGATCAATGGGGAAACACGTTGAACTACACTTTCACGATTTCCCTGCCATAAAATCGGACTCACACTTGCCACGCATTTGACTCTCATTTGCCCCTCAGCAAAATGATTGTTTGTCACTTTTAGTCTAAGGCCCAGGGTCGTAGTAAGTAACCCGTGGGTGTGTATTAAATTTGGATATCTAACTAAATCTTCCGAATTTGATATCTGTGAATAAAAAAAAATTTAACGAAAAAAAAAAAAATTTAGGTCAAAGTTGTTAACTTTAAAAAAAAAATCAAATTTTTGAAAACGATATCATTACGTCAAATTATATGTAAAAAAAAAAAAAAAATGGCCTCCGCCCTTTCACTCCCACGTTTTTCCTTTTTTCCTTTTTTTTCCGAGGCAAATTATCTTTTTTTTTCTTCATGTTATTATTATTATTATCGTACGTTAATTGTTTGAATTAAATTACCATTAAATTAATAATAAATTTACATAATTTTACATGACTTAAAAAAAAAAAAATTTCACCGAATAATAATAATAATAGTAATTTTTTTTGCGTCGTACCTGTTTGTCGTTTATGTACCAATGAAGAGTCGATGACGGATATGATTTTCCTGATGTGCAATTTAATACTATTTCTTCACCGACTTGATATTCTTTTTCTTCTCCCGTTATGTGAGGACCATCTTTTGGCAAATCTAAAATTTAATAATAATAATAATAATAATAATTAATAAATTAATTTTTTCATCATTTAAAATTAAATTTAAAAAGAAAAAGATTTTCCTTTAACGAATTTTTTTTCAAAAAACGAGTCGCAAAACGTTTTTTTTAAAATAACCTATTATCATCATCATCATTATTATTATTATTAAGAAATAATTTATAATTTATAATGATGATGATGATGATAATAATAATAATAATGTAAGTAAGTATTAACCTAAAAGAAAATTTAAAGTTTTTAAAATTACGACGATAAAAGGTTTTTTTTTTCTCCTTACAAAATGAGAATTTTTT